CATATATATATATATCATGACATATCGACCAGCTCTCTGGCATCCACCTACCATGTGACTGTGAAGCTGAGAGGAGGCGTGGCTGCAGGCACTCGTCCCGTTGGACTGGGACGTTGTCTGAGGCGTGTCACACTGGATCAGACCCCTCCTGTCAATCAAACTGGGGCCCGGGGTCATGTTAAGTCACTTTACAGAAAAACTGAGGCTCCACCCACAAGTTTTCATTTGAAACCGATCAACGCTGCGACAGATTTGTTCACGTGAGTCGACAACACGAGGTTTAGAAACAGAGAAGTGTGTAAACGCTGCTGTTTGAAAACTCAGAGTTTTAACGAACGGACAGAAACTCTGAGTGGTCATGTGATACGTGTTTTCAGGTGTGTTAATGTGGACGGGGTTCAAACTGAAACAGAGATGGTGGATGAACCTGATATTGATCGTCTTTACCGTCACTCAGCTGATTGGTGGATGTAACTGACCTGGGAGGCAGCGGCCCACACAGGGCGGCGCAGCAGTTGCTCAGGATGTTTCCGTAGCTGTAGGGGTTGTAGTTGTCCTGACTGCGCTTCGTGGACCAGGAGCTTTTAATCTGGACCAGGACAGACACAGAGGCACGTTGGTCCAAGACACAATTTTATTATTGAGCCCTCTCAGGGCTTCCCATGTCCTGGGACAGCTGGGAGCGTTTCGTACTCACGTCTTCGTTGGTGGTCTGGTTGGAGCTGATCAGGTAGCTGTGGAACCCCGACAGACCCACAATCGACCAGACGGAGAAGAAACACACCACCACCTCCAGGACGGTGCAGAACTGAGTCAAGGACTTAATTGTTCTACAAATAATAACGGTGGGAAAATGAAAATGATGAGATAAAAAGACAAAATGCTGATGTGACAAACTCTGAGTAACGGTGTAAATGACGAGGCGCCTCTGAGTGACACTGATGAAAGGATATCTGGCCGGACTGTCTCTGAGCGCGCTCAGGAAACCTGTCCGCCTGGATCCTGCAGAGAGGAGAGATTTCATGTTCCTAATGTTCCACTTATTTCATTCTCACGACCACGTTATGATCCCTACACCTGCTTCCTCTGAGACCTGCACAGACTCCACGCTGATTCCAACGGTAAAACCGGCCGTCGCTCTTCTATATAAAAATCTTTATTCGTCTCATAATTACTGGTTTGTGTCCAGGTCCCACTGCAAAATCAAAATCAATTGAGAAAACCTGATTTAAAATGAGACGCAGCCGAGCTGCGAGATGTGAGACTTAAAAGAGTCAAGTCGATTATTCAACTTTATCTTAAGCTAAAACCCAATCAAATTAAGTCACGATGACCTTTGACCTCTGAAAACTCAGAGTCGTGAGGAGGCTGCAACGGCAGGTACTCACTGAGGATGACGTGTGTGATGACGAAGGCAAAGATGAAGATGGTGAGGAAGGACAGCGAGACGATGAACAGGTAGAAGAAGCGATAGTTCCTCCGTCCAACGCAGTTCCCGACCCAGGGACAGTGGTGGTCGAAACGTTCTGAAACAAAGAAGAAAAATAAATTTACATCACTTAAAAAGTGATGAGTCATCGGACACGTTAGAGACACACAGTGTGTGTGTGTGTGTGTGTGTGTGTGTGTGTGTGTCAGGTTCTGCCCACATTTATTTATTAAAGATTTTTTGCTCCAGTTTCTTTAATTTCTGCTTTTTATTTTCTATCATTGTAAATGGAATATTTTTCTTTTTTGATTGATGGTCAAATGAAATTGAGACGTAAATTAATTGAGAAACTGCAGCTCCGCCCATACTGACATGTCATCACTGTTGATACGGTCACAGCTGCTGGAGTTTTCCAGCCTCGAAGTCGGAAACTAAACGCTGCTGAACTCATTTTAGTTTGAAAACTCTGGTTTTGTGTTTTAGTCTGAACAGAAACTGAGACTTTATTATACGTTCTCTTCTGATTGGTTCTCATCAGTCACATGACTCGACTACCAGCGGTGAACACAAAGCGTCGCTAACACTTCCTGTCAGAAACAGTTCCACCTCGTCGTCGCTCCGAGAAAAGAAATCCCTGCTCTGACTGTTCACCATCACTGTTCTGTTACTAAGCAACCAACTGCAGAAGAGACGATCTACTTCCTGTTTACATCACATGACCAGTGTATGTAAACGGTCATGTGATGTGTGTTTTCTGGTGTGTAAGCTGTAAAATGTCCCACTGACCGACACAGTTGTCACACAGGCTGCAGTGGGACGCTCGTGGCGGTCTGAAGATTCTGCAGGTGAAGCAGTATTTGAGTTTGACCGTTTGTCCGTTGATGACGACGTCTCTGGTGCGAGGAGGAAGTGCGGAGCAGCTCCACGAGTCTGAGACACAAACACAACAGCTTCAGATGCTCTCAGTCCCTGAAACAAACCAGCGACACTTTAACTCCACTTCCAGAAAATCTGCAGAAGAAAAAGCAAATGAATCCTCGTTTCCTGCAAATGCTTCATGAATGTAAGGAGCTGGTGCATTGAGATGAGCAGTAGGTGGCGCTACTTCTACAGTCAGGGGCCATTATACCAAACAGTCTGTGTCTTTGTGGTTAAGAGGGGTCCGACGATGACATCACAGCTTCATCGTAAGGTGACGTCTGCTGAAGTTGGATTTTTTAAAGGATGAAGAGTAAAAAGATAAAAACCTCAGGACGCTCACGTCCCATGGGTTTGTGTTTGTTTGTGTGTTTCCATGGTTACCGATCTGCGTCTCCAGGTGGGCGGCCTCGTCAGGCGTGGCTCGGGGCAGAACACCGGGGTCGCTGAAGGTCACCCTGAACAGCATCGCCATGACGAAGACAAAGAGGACGACCCCGACCGCCGGGATGGCCGGGGTCAGGTTGGACGCCAGGAAGGGACAACTGCAGACACAACGTCAAAACAAATCCAGAGTCTGGACCAATCACAGGCCTTCATTCAGTCTGACACTTCTCCTCATTAAAACTAAACCAGACTAGTGTGTATGTGTGTGTGTGTAGTATATGTACTGTGTGTAGTATATGTACTGTGTGTAGTATATGT